GTTGCCCAGGCTGGAATGCAATGGTGAGATCTTGGCTCACCACAACCTCTGTCTCCCGGGTTCAAGCGATTCTCCTGCCTCAGCCTCCCAAGTAACTGGGATTACAGGCACTTGCCATAACACCTAGCTAATTTTTTGTATTTTTAGTAGAGATGGGTTTCTCCAGGCTGGTCTCAAACTCCCAACCTCAGGTGATCTGCCCACCTCACTGCTGGGATTACAGGTGTGCCACCTCGCCCAGCTGCTTTTTCTTAATAATTGCTTTTGATAAAAGTAATTGATAAAATTCAGTTTGTTTTTTTCTTGTATAATTTATGTTTTTCTGTGTAAGAAATCCTTGCCTAATGTAAGGACACAACACTTTATTCTATTTTTTCTTTTACAGTGTTTATAAGTTTAGCCCCTACATGTAAAGTGTATGGTCCTTTTCAAAAACAAATTTTCCTAAATACTAGTGTGAGGTAAATGTCTTTTATTTTCTTTATATATTTTTCTAGTACAATTTCTTGAAAATATTATTCTTTCTCCATTGAATTGCCTTGCCACCTTTGGCAAAAATTGACCATTTCTGTGTGTGTCTATTTCTGGACTCTATTCCATCTCTTTCATCTATATATCTAAATTTATGTCAATACCACACTCTTGAAATCTTGAAATCAGGCAATGTGAGTCTCTAAAGTTCTTTTCCAGAAATTTCTTTGCTCTTTTAGTTCCTTTGCATTTACATAAGTATTTAAAAACTGACTTGTCAATCTTTATAAGAAAAGAAAGCCTGCTGGAATTTGTATTGGGATTGTGATGAACCTGTTGATCAATTTAATAATATTGAATTTTCCAATTCATGAATATGGTATTTCTCTCCACTCATTGAGATTTATAAACATTTCCCTCAAGATTATTTTGTGGTTTCCAGTGTACAGATCTTGTATATATTATGTTTATTCCTAAGTATTTCATGTTTTGATGCTATGATAATTGGTATTAAAAACATTTAATTTCCAATAGTTTGTTGCTACTATATAGAAAAAAGTTTTTATTTACATTTTGATCTTGTATCCTATGGGCTTACTAACTGAGTGGTTCTCTTAGCTTGTTTTTAAAATGGAGACAAACAAATATAGGAATAGCTGTTTGTTTTTCATAAATAAGTTTTTATGTGGTTGAGAAGGTTGAGAAAGTTCCCTTGTATTCCAGGATCTTCTTTTTTTTTAAATCACAAATGGATGTTAGGATTTAGTCAGCTGCTTTATCTGTATCTACTAAGATGATCATATGGTTTTTCCCTTAATACAGAAATCAGCCTTGTATTTCTGGGGTAAAATGCTACTTGGTTATGATGTATTATCATTTTTGAGTTAATTAGGTTAAGGAAATTATCTTCTATTCCTAGATTTCTGAGAGTTTTTAACATTGTGAATGGATACTGAATTATTTTAGGGTGTTTTTGCAGTAACTATTGATATAATCATATGTTTTTTTTCTACTCTGTTAATTGATTTTCTAATATTGGACTAGTCTTGTATTATTGGGATGTATCCCAGTTGGGTATAATATGTTATTCTTTTTATATATTGCTGGATTCAATTTGTTAATATTTTGTTAAGGATTTTTGCATGTATATTCAAGGGGGATAATATTCCTTATTCTGAAGAAATTCATAGCATTCAGTGTTTATTTTCCCATGTTTAGTTTTCCAAATAAACTGTAGTATCACTTTATCAAAATAAAAAAAAAGGAAGATCTCAAATCAATTATTTAATCTATCATTTTAAGAAACTAGAAAAACAGAAACATGTCATATCCAAAGTAACCAAAAAGGAAAAAAAATCATAAAGATGAGAGTAGAAATCAATGAAATAGAAAACAGAAAGTCAACCAAACCAAGAGTTAAGTTAGTTCTTTAAAAAGATTAATAAAATTTATAAACATCAAGCCAGACTGATTAGGAACTTAAAAGAAGAGTCACACATCACTAATATTAGCAATGAGAAGAAGGGATGTTTTGATATATTTTTGGTAATATCTTCTCATATGCTTTTACTTTTAGCTATCTATGCTTTTATATTTAAGTTAAGCTTCTTGTAAAGTTTTCTGAGTCAATAAGCTTCTATTCAAGTGCTAAGACAGTTTGAATTTAATGTAATTGTTGACATGGCTGCGTATAAAGTGATCATCTTGTTATTTTCTATTCCGTTTATCTCTACTTAGTTCTTATTTCTTCTTTTTATGCTATCTTTTGAGGATTAAAAAAAAATTATTTTTTCCTCCACTTTTGTCCTATTAGCTATGCTTTTATTTTTTAGTAGTTGATCTACCATTTGCAAAATATGTTTTTGGATTATCACAGTCTACTTTCAAATTATGTTAATATTATACACCTTCATGTATAATGTCAGAAGCTTGTAACAATACACTTCTATTAATTCCCCACAATCTTTTTGCTACTTGTGCCCTATAGTTTGTACCTGTGTATGTTATAAACCCCATGATACATTGTTATTATTTTTGCTTTAAACAATTATTTGAAACACTTAGAAAATGAGATAAAAGTTCTTTGTATCTTACCACTTATTTAGAATATTAATCACTTTCATTCCTGTCTCACTCTGTCACCCAGGCTGGAGTGCCGTGGCTCGTGATCTTGACTTGCTACAACCTCCGCCTCCTGGGTTCAAGCATTTCTCATGCCTCAGCCTTCTGAGTAGCTGAGATTACAGAAGTTTACCACCATGCCTGGCTAATTTTTGTAGTTTTAGTAGAGACAGGGTGTCACTGTGTTGGCCAGGCTGGTTTTGAACTCCTGGCCTCAAGTCATCCACCCACCTCAGCCTCCCCAAGTTCTGGGATTACGGGCGTGAGCCACCATGCCTGGCCACATTTTTCTATTTTTAAAATTGATTTTTATTTATTTAGTTTTTAGAAATAGGGTTTCACTTTTTTGCCCAGGCTGAATGCAGTGGCATGAACATCTTTTCATGCACTTGCTGTTGGTTTATAGATCTTATTTGGAGAAATGTTAGTTCATATTCTTTTCCCATTTTTAAATTGCGTTGTCTTTTTATTTTAGAGTTGTAGAATTTTTAAAAATATATATTCTGGATATGAGCCCCTTATTTGATACATGACTTGTAATTATTTTCTTCCTTTTTTTCCCCTACTTTATGGTGTTCTTTGAAATTAAAGTTTTAAATTTTTATGAAGTCCTGTTTACCTAGTTTTTTCTTTGGTTTGTGTTTTTGTGTCAAATACAAAACTATTTTGTTATCCAAGATTATGAACATTTGTCTTCATGCTTTCTTTGAAGAGTTATGTAGTTTTAGCTCTTACATATAGGCCTTTGATCCAGTTTGAGTTAATTTTTGTATATGGTGTGAGATAGGGGTCCAACTTCATTTTCTTACATATGGATATCTAATTGTTTCAGTGCCATTTATTGAAAAGATTATACCTTCTTTATTGAATTTTGTGGCAACCTTGTTGAATTGATTATAAGGGTGTATTTCTAGATTCTCAATTATATCAATTTATATATCTATCCTTAGCTATATATCTGTATTACACTGTCTTGATTACTTTAGTTGTATAGTAAGTTATAAAACCTAGAAGTATGAGTCCTTTATTTCTGTTCTTTTCAAGATTGTTTGGTTATTATGGGTCTCTTGAATTTCCATATAAATCTTAAGATCAGCCTGTCAATTTCTGCCAAAATGTAGCTAGGATTTGATAAGGGATTACTTTGAATTACATCAGTTTGGGGAATATTGCAAATTGTAACAACATTAAGCCTTCTGGTCCATGTACTTAGAATGTTTTTCCATTTATTTAGGTATTGAATTAAACATTTTTTTCAATGTATTTTATAGTTTTTAGTGTACAAGTCTTATACTTTTTAAAAATGTATTTCTATTTTATTGTTTTTGATATTATTGTAAATGAGATTTTTTTGATTTCATTTTGAGATTGTTTATTGCTAATATATAAAAATTCAATTGATTTTTACGTATTGATCTCATATCCTGCAATATTCCTGAACATTAATTCTAATAGTTTTTTTAGTGGAGTCTTTAGGATTTTCTATATACAGGATCATGTTATCCTGAAACAGAGACAATTTTACTTCTTCCTTTTGAATCTAGATGCTTTCTTTTTTCTTTTTGTCTGATTATCTGGTTAGATTGTACAATATATTGGTGAATAGGTACTGAGAGTGGATATCCTTGTCTTGTTCCTGACCTTAGGGGAAGGCATCATCCAGTCTTTCACTATTAATTATGTTAATTGTGGACTTTTTTTTGTGTGTGTGTGCGTGATCCTGGTGTACTAGAGCCTTGATATCCCAGGCTCAAGTGATCCTCCAACCTCAGCCTCCTGAGCAGCTGGGACCACAGATGCATTCTACCATGCCTGGCTAATTTTTAATTTTTTGATATAGATGGTGTCTTACTTTGTTGCCCAGGCTGGTCTTGACTAGCTAGGCTCAGGTGATCTTCCCACCTGGGCCTCCCAAAGTGTTTGATTCCAGGTGTGAGCTACTGTGCCTGGCCTGGCCGTTTCATTAATCCCCTTTATCAAATTAAAGAAGTTGCCTTATCTGTTTTTCTGTTTTTCTTATGAAAGGGTGTTGGATTTTGTCAGATACCTTTTTTCTGTGTTTCTTCATATGATCATGTTTTTCCCTGTATTTTATTAATACAGGGTATTATTACATGGATTTTCAGATATTAAATCAATCTTGTTTTCCTCTGGCTTGTGATATTCAGTCTCTTTTATATTTTGCTGGATTTGGTTTGCTGGTATTTCTTTGATGACTTTTTTTTAAATCAATATTTACAAAGCATATTGATCTGTACTTTCCTGCTGATATCATTGTCATGTTTGACATCATATGATGAGTTGGGAAGTATTCTCTTACCTTCTAGTTTTTAGAAGATTTCATGAAGGACTGGCATTAATGCTTTTTTAAGACTAACGATATTTTAATTTTTGTTTTTGTCTTTTAGGATTCTCCTTTTACAAATGCAGGAATGGGATCTAATCTAAATCTGTTAGGTGAAATTGAGTGTGATGCCAGCATAATGGATGGAAAATCCTTAAATTTTGGAGCAGTTGGAGCACTGAGTGGTATGTGGGCATTATGACCTACTATCCTTGGAAGACTATGCACATGACCATTTCATGCCTTCTAAAGATGATTGCAGTCTTTCTCACCATTCCTGCTTGGAATAGTGTTTAAAACAAATGTTCTTTTTTTAAAAATTGAATTTAAGACATAAAATCTTAATTGTAAGTAGTTTTTGATTAGAATTTGATCATTATCCTCTATTCCTTTGAGAGATTAGAGACATTTAAGACCTGATTTAGAATATTAACTTTAAAATTTGAAATACACATTATATTTTTTGTTGTAAAAAATTTCAAGTAATATAAATACAATTTACCTTTGATCCTCTAAATCTTTTCTTTCTCATTTCCTTTCCCCATGGGGTTTAGCCAGTAAAAATACAGTGCTTTTATCTATATTTTTATATAGAATCACAGTTTTATCTTGTGCTTGTATTTGTTTTCTTAAAAAATAAATGTGTTAATTATAAACTTTTTAGATTTAAATATAATATTTTGGAGATTTTTTCCACATCAATACATAAAAGATATGTCTCTTGTTTTATAATTCATTTATTTTTAAACAAAATATATGTGAAATGTGTTTTATATGTACAGCTTCATGAATTTTTAGATGTTTACAGCCACATAAGTTACCACTTAAATCAAGACATTAAACATTTCCATGTCAAAATGTAGAATATTTTCATAATCCTGGAAGGACACTTCTCCTTGGTCCATACTTCTTGTGCTCTCTTCCCTCATGCTAACTTTGGGTACCACAGATTAATCTGCCTGTTCCTAAAATTTACATGTATGTAATCATACACTTCTGTGTTTGTTTTCTTTTGCTTAATGTTATGCCTGTGAAATGGATCCATGTTTTGTGTTGCTAGATTTTTACTTTTTACCACTTAATAGTATTTTATTGAGTATACCGTAACTTATGTATTTACTCCTCTTTTAATGGACATATGAAGTTTCCAGTTTTTTACTTTTATGAGTAAAGCATCAGTGAATATTATTTTACATGTCTTTTTTTTTGAGATAGAGTCTCACTCTTATCTCCCAAGCTGGAGTGCCTTGGTGCGATCTGCGCTCACTGCAACCTCTGCCTCCTGGGTTCAAGTGATTCTCCTGCCTCAGCCTCCCAGGTAGCTGGGATTATAGGCACCCACCACAATGCCCAGCTAATTTTTGTAGTTTTAATAGAGATAGGGTTTCACCATGTTGGCCAGGCTGGTCCTGAACTCCCGACCTCAAGTAATCTGCTGGCCTCCCAAAGTGCTGGGATTACAGGTGTGAGCCAACATGCCTGGCCATATATGTACTACTTTAGGTACATATGCATATATGTTTTGTTTTAATAGACACTGCTGGTTTTCAAACATAATTGTTGCAATTTAGATTCCCGCTGGCAGTGTAGGAGCATTTCAGTTACTCTGCATCTTTGCCAATTTTTGGTATTATTATTATTATTTTTAAAATTCAGCCATTTTGATATATGTGTAGTGGTATTATTGTTTCAATTTGAGGTTTCCCAGTGACTTATAAGAACCTTTTCATATGGTTATTGACCATTTAGATATCCTTGTTGAGAAATGCATGTTGGCATCTTTTGCAGATTTTTATTTGCTTATATATTTCATTGATTTGTTGGAGTATTTTATATATTTTACATGCAAATATATAAATAGCTTTGTAAGATACTTGTATTATGGATATCTTCTCCCAGTCTGTGGCTTGCCTTTGCAGTCTCTTAATGCTGTCTTTTGATGAATAGAAGTTTTTGATTTTAATAAAATTTAAGTTAGCAGCCTTTTCTTTTGTGATTAACTCTTTGTATTTTAAGAAGTTTTTCAGGCTGGGCGTGGTGGCTCAAGCCTGTAATCCCAGCACTTTGGGAGGCCGAGGTGGGTGGATCACGAGGTCAGGATATCGAGACCATACTGGTCAACATGGTGAAACCCCGTCTCTACTAAAAAAAAAAAAAAAAAAAATACAAAAAATTAGCTGGGCACGGTGGTGCGTGCCTGTAATCCCAGCTACTCAGGAGGCTGAGGCAGGAGAATTGTCTGAACCCAGGAGGCAGAGGTTGCGGTGAGCCGAGATCGTGCCATTGTGCTCCAGCCTGGGTAACAAGAATGAAACTCCATCTCAAAAAAAAAAAAAAAAGAAGTTTTTGCTTGCTCAAACATATGAGGATAGTCTTCATTCTTTTCATTCAGTAATTTTATTGTTTTTATCCTTCACATTTAGCTTTCTTATCAAACTCAGATTAATTTTTGAATATATAACATAGGGGTCAACATTTATTTATTTATTTTCTCATATGGATATCCAAATGGTCTATTGCCCTCTATTGAAAGGAAGTCTTTTCCTCACAGAATAGTGTTGGGAAATTAGATGACTGTATGTATGATAGTTTGTTTCTGTACCATGTTATGGCTGCTTCCATAAAATGAGTTGGAGATTTTTTTCCCATTCTTTGAAAAGGTTTGTATATAACTGGAATAATTTCTTTTTTAAAAGAATTAAAACAATTTTTGTTTCAAAGAATTTATAAATTGTTTCAAATTAATGGGGTTTTCTTTGGGGAAGTTTTAAAAAGTAGGATTCAATATTTTTAAATTTATATGATTATATTTTCTTTTTCATGTGCATTTTTCTGGGGATTAGACTATTTCATATGAGTTGTCAAGTTTATTAGCCTAAAAACGTTTTAGTTAGCTTTCTCTATTGATTTCTAGTTCAATTCCACTATGGCCAGAGAATATACTGTGTGCAGAAACAATCCCTTGAAGCTTTTAGAGACTTGCTGTATGGCCCAGCTTATAGTGTGTTTTGGTAAATTTGCATGTTAACTTCAAATTTAACATGCAGTGGGTGCAGTGCTCTGTATGTGTCACTTAGGTCAATTTGGTTATTTATTTGTTTTGGTCTTTTATATCCTTTCTCTTTTTTGTGGTAGTTAAGAAAGCATGGTTCACTTAGTTTTAATTTTAACTTCTTTTATTATGAAATTTTATTGGTATTTAATACAATCTTGTGTGTTTGAAGGCCATTAACATTTCTTTGTGTACTACCTGTTCATACCTCTAGTGTTTTAACTTGTCTTTTAACTTTGTTTATAATATCCTTAATCGTGTTGGAGTTAAACATGTTTATTTGTTAAACTGACTACTTTCTCTTTTGTTTATAATATCTAACTCTGTTTCTAATATCCTTAATCATATTGGAATTGAACATTTTTATTTGTTAAATTTACTGCTTTCTCTTTTGTGGCTATTGTATTTTGTATTTCTTAAAGGCCCTCATAATTTATAAGCGTAATTAACCTGTATTTTCTTCTAACACATGTATAGTTTATTTTTCATTTATCTCTTGAATGCATTGTCTGTCTTTTCTGAAATGACTGAACTACGTAGTTAATTGAATAACAATAACTACAGTTTATTGAATGACTGTAACACCCTAGGCATTGTTCTACAGTGGTTTACATATTTTATTTTATTTTATTTATTTGTGAGATGGAGTCTCACTCTGTCAGCCCCAGCTGGAGTGCAGTGGTGCTATCTTGGCTCAGTGCAACCTCCGCCTCCTGGGTTCAAGTGATTCTCTTGCCTCAGTCTCCTGAGTAACTGGAATTGCAGGTGTGCACCACCACACCTGGCTAATTTTTATATTTTTAGTAGAGACGGGGTTTTACCATGTCAGCCAAGCTGGTCTTGAACTCCTGACGTCAGATGATCTGCCCACCTCAGCCTCCCAGAAGTGCTGGGATTACAGGCATGAGGTATTGTGCCTGGCCCAGTGGTTTACATATTTAAATCATTTAGTTCTCATGATACCCTTATGAGGTCTATGCTTTACAGATGAGGAAACTGAGACACAGGAGAGATTTAGTAGTTTATCTGAGGACATTGTATTAGTCTGGGTAAAACTGGAAGACAGAAACCATGCCGTAATTTAAATATAAGTTTAATATAAAGACTTATTAAGCAGTGATAGGAGAGTAACTCTATAAACATCAAAGAGAACTATAAACATGGGAATACAAATCAAAAATGTATTCTAGAGCAGAGGGAGAATACCCAAAGATGAACACATTTGGAAGTAGGTTCATACCTCATTGAAGAAAGTGTGTCTGTCATCCACCGTATGACAGAGGAATTGCCGGGTTACCCAGGCCAGAGCTGGTCTGCAGTCATTGTGTGAGCAGGATCAATCCTGTGAGGCAAAGGGAAGCTCAGGCTGGGAAGTGGGCACACAGAGGTCAAGATGCTGTGGGAATTAAACCTCCGTTGGGTGGGATAAAGATTGGGCTTTGGCTCGCTTCACAGGCACCCCATGGAACACTTGTTATGTGTGCCTATGGGGCTGAGGAGTGGGTGTGGGAATCAATTACCTGGATAGAGTATGGTCTTATTCTTTTTGGAGCTCTCAGCTATGTTGCTATGGCACGAATCAAGAGCTGGAGAAAATGTGGTGTTGAAATGCTGGAGAAAGCTGCTCCCTGTGGGTGGGCACTTAGCACAGGAGAGTATCACATGGGCCAAAAGTGAAGCCTGGTGAGGAAGATACCCTTTCCTCCTACAGTGTTTCTTCAGTGTCCTGTACTGACAAAGTTTACCTGTTGTGCTAGCTGGCAAAGGAAACATACTTAGAGGGCCTTTGTGTTTTCACACATCAGGCAACAAAGGGTGACTTTGTAGCTGAGAAGCAATAAGTTGCTTAACTAAGCAGTTACAAAGTAGTCTGACTCCTAGGCTTTTACCTCTGTGTTCTTTCTCCCCCTCATATGTAGTTTATCATTTTCCTACTGATTTGAAATACTAGGCATATTATATATTAAATACCTAAATTCATAAGTGTCTGTTTCTGAACTTTAGCTTTATTCTATTCTACTGATACATTTGTTTATTTTGTACTAAACCACTCTTTTTAAATTATAATAGCTTCAAATAAAAAATGATATCTTGCAGGGTAAGTATACCTCTTCATTTTTCTTTTTCAAAGTTTTCTTTTCCTGATTTAAGAGTCAGCTTCTTATGCATCATGGAAATCCTTTTGAAAGTTTTGATAGAGAATTCATAAAGATTTGGATTTATAAGTTAACTTCGAAAAGATTAATGTCTTTACAATATTGAATCATCACATCCAGAAATATATTAAGAACTAGCAAAGATTTGGGCTTTTCTTTTTTTGTTTTGTATTTCATACTTTTTTGTGGAAGATTTAGTATTGAGCTAAATTTCTACAATTGGTTTTGCTTGGAGTCATCTGGTAGCCTTAATTTAAATTTTTATAGTCTCTTTATATCCCACTGATTATTTGTTTGTATTCATAATGTCCTGAAAGATAGACTTAGATTAGTGATGAAAGGTGTGGATACTAGCTGCTTCTGTGTTAAAACTCAGCGCTGTGATCTTGGGCAGGCAACTTAACCCTCTGTATAAATGTTTTCTTATTAATCCAGTAGGATTAATAAGTGTGGTTATATGATAGAATTGAAGGATCAATAGACTCATCCAATGCATTTTAGAATTTGACACTGGGCCTGGAGCATATTAGGAAGTAGTTACTTTCATTGCCGTCTACCATCATTGTCATTGTCATCATCACTGCCATTGTCCTTGTCATTGTCATCCTGACAGTGTTTATCACACTCATACTGTCTTGTCATTTTCCTGGATAAGGACCGTTGCCTCACCTGTACATGCTGGTTAATCCTCCTGGAAACAATCTGAACCACATTGTAGGTTACCATCTTTTACAAACTTGTTCTCCTTTCCCACCCTTACCCAATTTGAAGGACATTTCCCCTGTTCTGTCTCTCTCGAAGGTGACATTAAACATTTTTGGCTTGTTTTTTCCTATTAATTTTTCTCTCCAAGGTCAATTTGAAGCTGTTTATAATCACGTTTATCCTTTAAAGGGGATTTATGGTTTTGTAGTCACTAAATGCTTGGAGGATATATATAGTTTCGATAGTAGGAGAACACCACATTTTCTGTTCATTTTAAAAGCTATTCTGAAACCTATTAAAAAGGAACCTAATTTAAATATGTACTATTTCAATTCAGCCTTTGCTTCTTTACCACATGACAAAACATGAGAATATGTATTTTATATTTGTTATTTTCTTCTACTGGGTATTCCATACATTTTTAAATTCTTATTGCTCATGATTATTAAGGGTTTTCATTAGTATTACTTGATATATCGAAAAAGAATTTCCAAGATATATTCGAGTTGTTTTATTGAAACAACTGCAAAACTGAGTGGGAAACTGGAAGACATTTCTGACATCTTTTTTTCCAATTTTATTTTATAGGAATCAAGAACCCAGTCTCAGTTGCGAACAGACTGTTATGTGAAGGGCAGAAGGGCAAGCTCTCGGCTGGCAGAATTCCTCCCTGGTAACCACTTTGTTCTTCCTGACTTTTCCTGTTTTTAGTGCATTTTTATCCACAGAAGGCTGATGCTGTTGTTTACAAACCAGGTAGCATGCCTTTGAGAAGAAGACAAAGTTTGTTCTGTGATCTTGGGAAGATTTTGTACAACTGATAAAGTCCTGGTTGGAACAGAATATTATGGATTAAAGCAGAAAGGGGATCAGTGCTCAGTTGGGCTCATTTTATTATGAAACTTTAAAAAAACTTTTACACATTATAGTTGGAGTCTGAAATAATTTTTAATTTTGAGAAGTTTTTAGAATGAAAGTATATGGAATATAGTAAATAGCCCTTATGAACCTGAGATCCAGCTCTAGTAATTTCCAGTGTTTTATTCTTCATCTATCTCATGCATCTCAGTTTTTTTCCTATAGGGTTTTTTGGTTTTGTTTATTTTTATTTTATTTTATTTTATTCGAGACAAATAAGATAAAATATTTATTTTATTTTATTTGTCACTCAGGCTGGACTGCAGTGGCACGGTCATGGCTCACTGCAGCCTTGACCTCCTGAGCTCAAGAGATCCTCTTGCCTCAGCCTACTGAGTAGCTGGGACTACATGCATATGCTGCCTTTCCTAGATATTATTTTTATTTTTTGTAGAGGTGGCGTCTTGCTATGTTGCCCAGGCTGGTCTCAAACTTCTGGACTCAAGCAATCCTCCTGTCTTGGCCTCCCAGAGAGCTGGGATTATAGGCACGAGCCAATGTGCCTGGCTGTAGCATTGTAAAGCAAATCCCTGACTACACTGTAGTTTACCCTTAAATAGTTTTCTAAGTAATTCTGTGTTTGCAAAACATAGCCCCTGTACTGTTAGCATGCCTAACAATATTCAAACTTAAGCTTTAATACCATGTCATACTTAGTCTATACTCAGCATGCCTGGTTGTGGAGGTTACATCAATGTTCTTTGTTCAAAGTTGTGGTGACAGTGCTGTAGGAATTACTTTGTTTGATTCTACTGTGTTTTGAAGTCACAGAAAATAATATAGTTAAAAAAAAATCTTAAATCCTTTACCCAGATAGATTTAAGATTTTAATCATATATGTCCCAGTTTAATTATTGCACTAGAGTCAATTATGAAAACATTCTTAAATATTAATTTTTAATATTACAATGTTTTGATAAAGCAATGGTAAGGGAAAGCAAATCTGATTTTTTGAGATTATTTCTAATATGTGTTGGATTGATTTCAGTAGGTTTCCTGATAACTCTGAAAGTGAAAAAAGTGATTAAAATAATCTTTTTTTTTTTTTTTGAGATGGAGTTTTGCTCTTGTTGCCCAGGCTGGAGTGCAATGGCGCGATCTCGGCTCATCGCAACCTCCGACTCCTGGGTTCAGGCAATTAATTCTCCCGCCTCAGCCTCCTGAGTAGTTGGATTACAGGCACGCACCACCACGCCCAGCTAATTTTTTGTATTTTTAGTAGAGACGGAGTTTCACCATGTTGACCAGGATGGTCTCGATCTCTTGACCTCGTGATCCACCCGCCTCGGCCTCCCAAAGTGTTGGGATTACAGGCGTGAGCCACCGCACCCAGCCTAAAATAATCTTACATGTGTTTCTCTCATGATTTATATTAAACCCACGCTATTTTTTTTTTAACTGATATGAAAGTACTAACCCAAAATTTGCTAAGTGTTTGTTCAGTAGGTACACACAGAGTCCTTCTATCCATACCTTTTTAAGGGAGTATTAAGTGCAAAGAGATTGGCTCTGGATTTATATTCTCTGTAATGTGTATTTAAACATGACTGTGTTCTTTCACCCAATATTTCCTTTTGTGTGTAGAACCTAATTAACATGAACTAAACAATTTAGAAGACATGTACCTAGTAGGGAGGAAAAGATGTAGTTGTTTGGTTGGAAAAATAGCATAAACAGTGTAAAAAGTATTTTGAAGTTCACCTACAAATCTATCATAATCCCATTGCCCCACTCCTCATTTACCAAGCAGATTCTCAAATTTGTATGGAGGAATAAGCATTCAAGAATAGTCAAGGCAGTTGTAAACAGCTTAAAGAGTTGGATGTACTTAATGGATAGCATACTTTTATATAATACTATAGTAATTAAAACAGGTACTCCAAGTCTAGAAGCCCTCAGTGCACGAGGGAATTTGGTCTATGATAACAGTATCATTTCAAATCATTGTGGGGAAAAAGAATGGTATATTAAATAAATTGTGTTGTGACAATTGACTGCCTAGTCCAAGAACATTAAATTCTGATGTCAAAAAAGTGTAGTATAAAAATACTAGGGAAAAAATATGGAAGCGTATTCTTACGACTATGAGGCAGCAAAAAATTTATTAAGATAAAAAATAAACCTAAGTATTGAAACATATGACAAGTAAAGATATACCTGTGATACAACTGAAGATACTATGATCAGAATTAAAAGACAGTATGTCCTTTGGAACTGAGAAAAATTATTTGCAGGATATGTTACAAAAAAAAAATTATCCAAAGTGTTTATGAACTATAAAATATCAATAAGAAAAAGACAACCCGAATTTTAAAAATTAGCATAGGATATAAATAGGCAATTCATGGGAAAAATTAATGGGATGTAAATACATGAAAAGTTGCTCAATAATATTAATCAAGGAATTATTAGTTAAAAAAAAGGGCAATGTTTTAATCTTTTTTAAGTAGCAAAGTTAGCAAAGACCAACAATATACAGTATTCAGGGCATAGAAGAGCAGGTTCTTCTGCTGTTGATTGGAACATAAACAACCAGTTGAGAGACATTTTGATGTTATTCAAACAACCAGTTGAGAGACATTTTGATGTTATTCATTAAATATAAATTGAAAATGCACGTTGTATGCTCCAGCATTTCTATCCTGAGACAAAATGTCTTCACAAGAAGGCTTGTACAGCACAAGAAGGCTATAGCATTGTTGCTTGTAGAGTATAAACATGTAAGCTACCTAAATATCCATCAGTGGTTAAATAAACTGTTTTCTAGTTATATTATTAGATATCTTGTGTCATTAGAAAAAAGGAGAGAAACATTTGTGTATGGCACCATGGCTTACTGTTAGAATTAATTTACTTGAGCTGCCTTAACAAAATACCTTAGATTTAGTGACTTAAACAGTAGAATTGTATTTCTCACAGTCCTGGAAGTTAATAAGTCCAAGATCTAGGTTTCAGCCTGTTTGGTTTCTGGTGAGGGTTCCTTTTCTAGCTTGCCTTCTCACTGTGTTCTTACACTAGAGATGAGGGTGTAGGGAAGGGGTTGTTGAGAGAGAAACATTTCCTTCTCATAAAGACACTAATTACATCAAGAGGATCTTACCCTCATGACTTCATCCAACTGTGATTATCTCCCAAAGGCCCATCTCAAAATATATGACATTGAGGGCTAGGGCTTCAACAAATGAATTTTTGGGTGGACACGTTTCAGTCCACAGAAATAGATCTCTACATTGTAGAGTAAATAAATCAGGTTGCTGATGATATGTTCATTTTCACTTCTATTTTCTTAAAAGAATTACAAAACAATATGATGCGCATTTGTCCTCTGCCACCTAGGTTAGGAAATAAAATACCACCAAAAGATTTGGAGCTGCCTAGACTAAACTCTGCCAGTTTACATTTCTGCCTATAGTGTCTTATGATCATTTAACCAAACACTTACCAGGAGTAATATATTTTTAAAATCTTTAAAAAGTTAAAAGGGAAGAAATTTAACATGTACTCCTTTTTCTTTCCACTGTCCTACATGCTCTCCCTGACCCCCATCTCTGCCCTACACCTGGGTAACAATAATCCTGATTTTAAGCTTTTCTCATTGCCATATAGTCTTTCATATTGTTACAGCATATACAATACTCAGATTTTCTGTGGTTACATAAATATGTGCATAGATGTACAAAAAAGACTTGTAATGTGGGTTTACTACACCCACTGTGATTACTGCAGGGGAAGAGGGAAGAGGGACTAAGATGAGGAAATTGTCAAAGGGGACCTATGCAGTATTTTAATATTTTACAAGGAGAAAACATGTGGGAAAAAGTGATGGCTACCTCTTTATTAAAATAATATTATATAATAATGCTACACCTGTCTGGAGTGAGCTGGTTTTCTTTTTTAATTTTTTTAAATTATTATTATACTTTAAGTTCTGGGGTACATGTGCAGAGTGTGCAGGTTTGTTACATAGGTATACATGTGCCATGGTGGTTTGCTGCATCCATCACCCCATCATCTACATTAGATTTTCTCCTAATGTTATCCTTTCCCTATCTCCCCATCCCCTTCTGTCCCTTCCCTGGTCCCCTTCTCCCCAACAGGCCCTGGTGTGTGCTGTTCCCCTCATTGTTAAACACCCACTTATGAGTGAGAACATGTGGTGTTTGGTTTTCTGTTCTTGTGTCAATTTGCTGAGAGTGATGGTTTTCAGCTTTATCCATGTCCCTGCAAAAGACGTGAACTCATCCTTTTTTATGGTTGCATAGTATTCCATGGTGTATATGTGCCACATTTTCTTTATCCAGTCTATCACTGATGGGTATTTGGGTTGGTTCCAAGTCTTTGCTATTGTGAACAGTACCACAATAAACATATGTGTGCATGTGTGTTTATAATAGATTGATTTATAATTCTTTGGGCATATACTGAGTAATGGGATTGCTGGATGAAATGGTATTTCTAGTTCTGGATCCTTGATGAATCACCACACTGTCATCAACAATGGTTGAACTAATTTACACTCCCAGCAACAGTGTAAAAGCATTCGTATTTCTCCACATCCTGTCCTGCATCTGTTGTCTCCCAATTTTTTAATGATCGCCATTCTAACTGGTCTAATGACCAGTTATGATAAGCTTTTTTTCATATGTTCTTTGGCTGTATAAATGTCTTCTTTTGAGAAGTGTCTGTTGATGTCTTCGCCCACTTTTGATGAAGTTGTTTGTTTTTGTCTTGTAAATTTGTTTAAGTACTCTGAAG